AATTCGACAATAAATTACATTTAAAAAACTTAAAAAAATTAAAAATTGTATTGCTTATTCTAGGTCCTTCATAATTCCACCTAAATTTTAGGCTAACTAGTAAATTTCTACAGCAAAGATTTTGATATTTTGATGGGATTGTGTTGAATCAATAGCTCAATTTGGAGAAAATTAACATTTTAGCAATATTGACTCTTTCAATCCACAAACAAGGTATGTATCTCCCTTTACTGAGGGCTTCTTTCATTCCTCTCAGCAGTGCATGTAATTTGCAGTGGAGAAATCTTGTATAACCTCTGAAGTATTGATTCTTGAATATTTTATATCTTTTATATCATTGTAAATGATGTATAAGATTTTTTTGCTGCTGCTATACAGAAATATGATTGAGTTTTATATATTGACTGTGTACTCTGCAACCTTGTTAAGTTTATTAATTCTCATCATTTTTTGGAAAATTCCTTAGGATTTTCTATGTACACAATCATGCTGTCTGCATATAGACAGTTTTACTGTTTCTTTTCCAAAAAAAAAGTTGCTATTGTACCTTATAGTTTTAAGTGTTATTGTGAATACTATATTTTTTAAACATTATATTCTAGATGTTTTTTATAGGTCCAGAGCCCCACAACAATGTTTTATATACTGATCTTATATCCACACATCTTCAAAAATAGTAGTTCTAATAGTTTGCCAATCCTCATGAATGTTCTTCCTTTCCAATCCCATTACTATTAATTTATTTTTTCATGTGTTACTATACTTGCTAGTCTTCCAGGAAAATGTTGGAGATCAGGTACTCTTACCCTGTCCCAGACATTAAGAATTTACCTTTATCTGTTTCATCTTTAAGAACGTTGCTTGTTTTGGGGTTGGGATTTTTTTTTTTTTTTGGCTAGACCCTCTATAAATTAACAAAGTTCCCTTCTGAATCTAATCTGCTCTTTTTTTAAAAAAAAGTCATAAATAGAATTATGTTTCATATGATTTTTCTAAATATACTGAGATTATCACATTTCTCCTTCAATTCGTTAATGTGATGAACTCTATTAATATATTTCTAATGTTATCATTCTTAGTAAAAATCATCTGGTTATGGCATGTTTTAATGCATTGCTGGATTCATTTTGTTATTTCATTCAGACTTCTATTTGTAATTTCATAAGTGATATTAGCCTACAGTTTTTTTTTTCTTCCGTTTACTTCTTTGGTATTGGTCTTAAAGTGCCTTATGAATGAACGGGGGAACACTTCTTTTTATTCTCTTTCTTGAGTGTAATGAAAATTGACTTTGCCTGTTTAAACAATTTTTTTAATTTTTTTATTTTTTAACATTTTTTATTTATTTCTGAGAGAGAGAGAGACAGCATGAGAAGGGGAGGGTCAGAGAGAGAGGGAGACACAGAATCCAAAACAGCCTCCAGGGTCTGAGCTAGCTGTCAGCGCAGAGCCCGATGCGGGGCTCAAACCCACAAACTGTGAGATCATGACCTGAGCCGAAGTCGGCCGCCCAACCGACTGAGCCACCCAGGCGCCCCTGACTTTGGCTGTTTTAAGAGTAGTCATCTGGAGGGGTGCCTGGGTGGCTCAGTTGGTTAAGGGTCCAACTTTGGTTCAGGTTATGATCTCACAATTTTTGAGTTCAAGCCCCATGTTGGGCTCTATGCTGACAGCTTGGAGCCTGGAGTCTGGTTCAGTTCAGATTCTGTGTCTCCCTCCCTTTCTGCCCCTTCCCTGTTTGTGCTCTGTCTCTCTGTCTCTCTCTCTCTCTCAAGAGTAAATAAACATTAAACATTTTTTGTTAATAAAAAGAGTAATCATCTGGAAGATCATGGGAGTCTACTGGTAATGTTTTCTTTGTTCTTTAGTGCATATATATATATTTTTACTTTTGTTTTTTTTCTTCCTTAGTTTATTGTCAAGTTGGTTTACATATAACACCCAGTGCTCACTTTGGCTCAGGTTATGATCTTGCAGTTTGTGAGTTCAAGCCCCACATTGGGCTCACTGCTGTCGCTGCTATCAGCAGAGCCCTCTTTGGATCTTCTGTCCCCCTCTCTCTGCCCCTACCCTGCTTGCACTCTCTCAAAAATAAACAAACATTAAAAAGGAAGAGAAAAAAAAAGAATAAGGAAGACCTCTATAAGGGGTGTGGGCCGTGATTTCTAGAATATGTCTTTAAGTGTAAAAAACATTGTGCAAAAGAGTACATACAGAATGCGACCTTCTGTATTTGAAAAAAAGGGGAACTATATTTGTATCTGCTTACTTTTAGAAAAAGAAATAGGAAGGATAAAACTGTTTACCTGCACCGGATAGGTAAAAAGGGAAATGGAGCTTTTTAAAAAAAAATTTATTTTAGAGAGAGAGAGTATGCACAGGGGAGAGGGGCAGAGGGAGGGAGAAAGAGGAAGCCAAGCAGTCGTCTCCATGCTCAGTGCAGAGCCCAACGCAGGGCTCAATCCCACATCCCTGGGATCATGACCTGAGCCCAAATCAAGAGTCAGATGCTCAACCAACTGAGCCACCCAGGTGCCTCGAGGAATGGAACTTTTATCATGCCTTTTTATATAGCTTTGACTTTTGAACTATGTTTATATTTGATATACTTAAAAAAATCAATAAGAACAGAGAAGCAACTAAAACCAAACACCAACAATAACAAACCTAACTGTATGTCAGACAAATACCATAACCACACAGAAGAAAAACATTAATTCAAATAACGTTCGAACATAATCCTGTGACTGTTTCCTCTCAGTAGGATATAGTCCAAGGACAAAGAAATCTTGAGTTTCAATTAATATGCTTTTGGGGAGTAGTATCGATGTAGCAATTCTGAAAGTCTTTCATTTGTGTGTAAGATTTGGTAAGCAAGTATATATATGTCTGTTGGCTTCTCATTCAGGGAGGAGGGGAATACAAATATGAGATGGGAGGAAGGAAGGCCTCAGAGACGTTGGATTGGAATTAAAGGTATTGGCATGAACTCATCATTTTTAATTATTATTATCTCCTAGCTCGACACGCTAAGAGGGCCTAGAAACAATGAGGCTCTGGCAACAGGGAGCACACCTCAGCATCTGGAACTTGGTCTCTAAATACCATTCTCCTCTGAAGAGAGAAAAATTGGAGAAATGCATGATTCCAGCACAGGGCAGAGAGACCACAAGATGAGTCTGGAATATCTATACATTGTGCCAAAAAGTACAGAAGTACTCAAAGGATAAAGAGGGTTTGTCAAATGGACAGAGAAACTGCTTGAAAGGTTTCCTGTTGGTCACATTTGGTACAATCTGTATATCAAAATGAATAATGACAGAAGTAAATTGTTACCAACGGAACACATAAAAATATACCCACCATACTGATAATTTTAATAATATTAAAAGGGAAAGGCAAACAAGAAAACTCTCATTTATAGGGGGAGGGGTCCACGAATTCACAGGAAAGGAATGAGATCTGTGAGATATATAACTTTCAGAAAAAGCAATGACTCTGTTCCCAATCAGGTTTTCACTCATAGATGTACTATCTGTGGATCATCCTTATCTTTTTTCAGTTTTAGGCTAAGACGAAGAAAGCGATTGTAAACATTTATGTACAGATCTTTTTGTGGACATGTGTATTCATTTCTCTTGGAGGAAATGCCAACAAGTACGGTTACTGGCTCACATTATATGTAAGTTGTGCTTCACTTTATAAGAGATCACTGTGCCATCCCACACACCCCTGCCCTGGCCCCAATCCCAGTTCTAGGATTACGCGCTGCTTTTTGTTGCTATCTCTTTAACCTTGCAGGTATAATCCAGGAGAAGCAAGGAAAAATACCCTCTAAAAGACTTGTACAATCATGTTCAAAGCAGCAGTTTGTTGTTCCCTCCCAACTGGAAACTTCCCGAGGATTGCCACCAGGACATGCTACTTACACGGGAGTTTTCCCAAAAAGCTTAGGAAGTCAGAAAATAAGGAGGATGGATAAGTAAATTTTGATATAGTTCTAACAACGTGATATGACACAGTCAGCAATGAAGAAAGAACAAATTAATACTACAGACACCAGTATGGATGAGTCCCAAAAACAACTTGGAGGGAAAGAAGACAGACCAAAAAAAGTATACCCTGATTATATCATTTACATAAAATTCAGTAACAGGCAAAATTGGGATATAGTAAAGGAAGTCGGAAAAGGATTCCCTGGGAGGCTAGTGACTGAGGGGTACAGAAAAGGCTCCTGAGATACTGCTAGGCTCTGAATCTAAGTGCGGGTTACTTGGAGGTGCTTGCTTTGTGAAAACTTACCACGCTCTACGTTTATGATGAATGCACCTTTCTGTACATGTGTTTTGCTCTAATATATGCATATATATATATACATATATATTTAAAAAAAAGCTATAACCCTGATTCCAAAACTAAACAAAAAGAATACTGAATCCTTTCTGAGTTAATTTTAATATTTTTAACATTTATTTATTTTTGAGAGACAGAGCGTGAGCAGGGCAGGGGCAGAAGGAGCACAAAATCCAAAGCAAGCTCCGAGCTCCTGGCACAGAGCCTAGTGCGAGGCTCGAACCTACCAACTGTGAGACCATGACCGGAGCTGAAGTCAGATGCTTAATCAACTGAGCCACCCAGGCGCCCCTCTGAGTTAACCTTAAACGTGAGGTTTCAGAAGGCATGCTTATTTTCTAACTTCCTAAGCTTTTTGGGAAAACTTCCCTGTAAGTAGCATGTCCTGGTGGTATTGCTTGGGATGGGAATGTGCAGGGACAAAGGTACTTGGAGGCTGTGTCTTGGGTGCACATTGGCACACCTTTGTGGAAAGAAGTTGGACAATATACACCAAGAGATTTAAAAAGACATACATGCTACTTTATCTACTAATTCCCCTCCAGGAATGTATCTTAAATCAACATCTCAAATATTCATGAACAATGATGTAGAGTTATACATTAAAATTTTTTCAGAAAAGAAAACCCTTGGACAGGAGTACTTACAATTGGCGTCCCAAAAGGAATGTAACCTGAGGGGGGAGAGGAAAGGGTCAGGTCTTACAGTCCCATCCCACTCCACCCCACCCCTCTTCAGAGGCACCAGAAGAGACCTCTAGGCTTGGTCTTGTCAATGGTCCTAATGAGGGAGCTCGGGTCAGCAAGGCAGGAGGCACTTCTAGCCCCCAGAGCTTTTCTCGGCTCAGCCTCCCCAGGATAGGGGGCTCCCCTGTGTCCCCCAGCCGCCCTCTGTCTGTCCCCGTTTAGCCAGATACTTCTCGCTCCCATCCAAAACTCGGCGGCCCGCTGCTGAGGGCAGGGCTGCCCACCACTGGGGACACCATGCACTTGGTGCTACACTTGGTGTCCCTTCCGTGATTTCCTCCAGGAGGCACCATGTCCCCGCCCACACTCGCTACACACAGCACGCTGTCTTCAAAGGCCCCGGAGCGTCTCCTTCCTCTCTCAGCTTGCCTTTCTAGCACGCAGCCCTACTTCAGTTCTGAAAAGGGAACACCCCACACACTTGAGATGTGTGCCTTTAAATGCCAGGGGTACTCTTTAAATTTCTCATCCCCTGCCCAGACATCCTCGGTAGAGCAGGCCCTGGGCACTGTCTCCTCACTGCTCACTTCCCCTGGACCATGGGAGGCCCCCTCCGCTGCCCCCCACCTCCCACTTGTCAGCAGGCAGTGTCCCTGACCTCTAGCTGATGGCAGGCAGTCAGCCTGCAGGCTGGGCAGCAGAGAACCACACTTATCTGAGTTATCTAAAGCAAAGGTTCGCATCCTGTGTGTGTGACTGCACTTGCACGCAAACTGTCACTCTCCTACTCTGAGATGGGCCCCAGGGTTGACTGGAGAGTTAGAAGAGGATCCGGGTCCCAGGTGAGAGCCTGCTGTGGCCCCGTGCACGTACAGCCCTAGCTGCAGGCTGCTCAGCCAGAGGCCTCTGCCGCCCGGAGTTGCTCCGTGGGCACTCAATGCCTCAGCACCATGAGGTCAGCCGGTTGGTTGTTCTCTCACCCACATGAAGTCGGGCTCTCTGGGGGTGGGGATCCTGGCTGACTCAGCTGAGAACACTCCTGGACACAGATCCTTTCTCCAGCTACCTGAGGACTTCCCAAGGCAGCGGCGGCAGCCCATCCACCCACCCTACAAGAGTGCTCCAGTGCAGGAGAAATGACACGCGATGGACAGCAACACTCTGGTGGGAGTCTGACCTCTGCTGTGTGACTCTGGACAGTACCTGTGGCCTCTCAGAACTATAGGAAGGACAAACACGCTAGCCCAGGCCCTGTGCGTGCAAGTGTTTTCTAGGCTCCTAAGCTCATGCACACAGAGTTATCCCTCTAGTGACCACAGGGCGGGGACTTCCTGGGGGTAGGGGCTTCCTGGGGGTAGGGGCTTCCTGGGGGCAGGGGCTTCCTGGGGACAGGGACTTCCTGGGGGCAGGGGCTTCCTGGGGGCAGGGATCTTATGTCCACTCTCTCTCCCACCCCACCCCCTCTGCCGCTGGTCTCCACAGAATGGGAATCCTCCTTCCTTGTATGCGCAGTGATGCAAATGCGGTTCATGCATTCTGCAGTACAGGTTAATAGCAGGATCAGAGACCAGGGAATTAGCCTGGGGATTCAGTGCCTTTAAGGGAGCATGGCCTGGAAGGAAAGAGCGCTGTGTGCAGAGGTGGGTGAGAGAGAAGGCAGGGCTTGCCAGAAGCAGGTATCACCCCTGAGGCTGGCGCTGTAGGTGGCTGGTGTATAACAGGAGTGAGAGCACCAGATTCACCTGTGGAGACCCCCACTGCACCCCAGCTGCTCAGGAAGAAAAGGCAGATGAGCACATTTTTTAAAAGCCACACAGGTGATTCTGAGGCCTGGCCAGAGACGCGTATAATTGAGCCAAGGTGAACACGGAGGTGCAAACTGGCCGTGTGTGTAACGGGTTCTGCCCCTCCTCAGGCCGGTGCATCTGGATGTTTCTGCAGTTGCTACCGTGATAAGCGCCCAAGGCTGGGCAGATTCAGAAGGGTCCCAGGGGCTTACCTGACATTCTAAAGGGCATGAAGATCTTCTCATTGGTATCTGGGTGTAGAATAGCCTGGCAAGAGCAGGGAACAGAGCACAGGGTGACTGTGGGGAGGGGAAGAAGGAGGGAAAGGAGAGCTTCCCCAGGACGACTGGCAGTTCAGTCCTTTCTCACCCTTCAAGGCAAGAGAAAAACAAACAAAGGCAGCAAACAGGGCTTTTCCTGACCAATGCTCAGAGCTGAACGCGCGGAGTGGGACTGCGTCTGCTTTGCGGGTCCTCTGTCCCCCGTGCCTGGTGTTTAGTGGGCATGTTAGAAGGATTTTGTAGAGGAGCCCAGAGGGAAGGAGCTCAGGGACTGGGAGAAGGCAAGGGGCATGAGCTGGGGCATTCAGAAACTCAGGCCTGGGGTGCTGGGGAAGAAGGGAGGGTGGGGCAGCAGGAGGCAAATGGGAGGGGTGAGGCTGAGCAGCACAGCCAGGACTCCCCAGGACTGCACAGGGCAAGGTCCAGGAGAGCATGGAGGAGGGAAGGAAAGGAATCCAAAACTGAATTACCTGTTTGATTTTCTGTGCACTCCAGAGCTGCAAGAGGAAAGGAGAGAAAAAGGAAACAAAAATGAAGGACAAAAATTAAAAGCGCATATCAATTTTAAAGTCTCAAAGCCCCATATTTTAACCAAGAGATCCAGCTCTGAGGGCCTGGGAGGCTCAGGCTGTCCTGGCGCCCGCGGGACTGGCAGCAGCTTCCCTGGGTCTGTGGCGTCAGGGATCCCAGAACAGCAGAACTAGGGGCTCTCCTGCAGATCATTTCAGCCAGGGGTCCTCTGCTCTGGCCACACTGTAAAATTACTTGAAAAATTCTTGCAGCAATTCTCTAGTTGATTCTAAGGTACGACCAGGTATGAAGTTCCAATTTCAATGAAGATCCTTGAATTGTCTCCCAGAATCACTAGAGGCAGCATAGCACAGATTTTTCAAAGCCGGACGGACTGCCTGGATTCCTGGCTTTGCCGCTTCTCTGGCTGAACCTCCATTTCTTCATCTGTAGAATGTGGATAATAATAGCTCTGCCTCCCACATTGTTAAACAGGTATAGGAAAAAGTGCCCAGAGCAGGTATGGACACACAGGGAGAGCTTTATTGCTGCAGACTGCTGTGGGTATTATCATTCCTGTCGTTGCTGTTATTATTAGAAGGTTATAAGAAGAAAGATGCTTTCAGATGGTGAGGTCTCTCCAGCCCAGCATGGGAGACAAGGCTGGAGGGACCGGGCGATTGCCAGTTCCTTCAAATGACACAAATACTGCATTTCAGTGAATCTAAGACCTCATTGATCCTAAGATACACTAGCATGTCCCACTAAGCAATAAAACTATAGCAGAATGCCAAGACCTCCATCAATGAAAACACTAAACCCATTTGAGGGATGTTAAAATGTGGTAAGATAAGCCTTTTAAAAAGAAATCAAGAAAACATAGTCAAATTTTATGGGCAAACCAAAGGCAGGGCATTTTTTAAAGAAACAAGAGGTAGGGGTGAGAGGGAGGAGGTGGGCAGCGGATGACTTGAGCTTTACAATAGAACACGTCAGTTATGCTTCATTTGTACGGCAGTGCTGTCATCTGGAATATCAGTTAAGCTGTAGAAGGCTACTCGGTAGCAGAAACAGAAGCGTAAGATTGATTTATTAAAGCTGATGCATTTTACTTACAGCAGAGTCCCTCAAGCCTCAACTCACAGCCTAACTATCCTTATTTTAGATACATTTCAAACATAATTGATTGTCTGCTATTCCAGACCCGCAAAGATTAGAAGCAGTAGATTTCTTTATTAAATAATTACAGGAAAAGGGGGACTGAAGAGAGAAAAACCAAATGCAACATCACTGTTGGCCAAAGAAGGTGAGTCAGGATGTAACAGCAAAGAGGTTTAAAAAAAAAGGGATAAAACGCAGATCCTCCTTTGCTTGGAAAGTGCCTTCGTACAGCGTACCTCCAGGCTCAGCACCAGCGCTGGTACGACCCAGGCCCTGTGCTCAGGGTCCTGACACCCCATACTCCCCACCCAGGATCAGAATCTTCCATCTCTAGGCCCAGCTCCTTGGAGGCTGTCCTCCAGTATCTCCCACAATGCAGGGCACACAGCAAGCCTAAAGCTATCCTAAATTCAAGTTCTATTCTATTGTATTCTATTCTATTGTACTCTATCATAGATTTTTAAAAAAATTTTTAGCATTTATTCAGTTTTGAGAGACAGAAAATGAGTTGGGAAGGGCAGAGAGAGAGGGAGACACAGAATCTGAAACAGGCTGAGCCATCAGCACAGAGCCTGATGTGGGGCTTGAACCCACAAAGATCATGACCTGAGCTGAAGTCAGATGCTTAACTGACTGAGCCACCCAGGCACCCCCATAGATGTTTATTTTTGAGAGAGAGCACGTGCATGTGCTCGAGAGGGAGACAAAGGATCTGAAGCAGGCTCCTTGCCGCCAGCAGAGCCAGACGTGGGGCTTGAGCCCATGGAACCGTGAGATCATGACCTGAGCCAACGTTGGATGCCTAGCTGACTGACCTGACCACCCAGGCGCCCCCAAATTTTATTTTAAAAAAGTACAAGATCTCGTCATATAACTCTTATAAAAAGGAAAAAAAAGAAAACATTCCCCATGATTCTGATGAACAGCCGGGGCAGAAAACACTGGTCTAAGACATCAAATGACAGTATAAAGAACAGGCATTAGAACCGTGTTCAAATCACTTGCTGGATGTGTGGCCCTGGGCAAATTACTTTGCCTGTGTGCCTCAGTTTCTCCATCAGTGAAGTGGGTTTGTTGTAAGAGTAGGGCAGAACCACGCTGGGTGCTCCCAGTGGTTTGCACTTCCCTTTGGGCACACAGTGCAGCCATATTCCCAGCTTCCCTCACTGGCAGGTGGGCCCACGTGACGGGGTGCTGGCTAACGGACTACGGGTGGAAGTGACACTCACCACACCTCCACCAGGCCTGGCCCCACAGCCTCCTGCAGAGGACCCAGTGGAGGCTGGTGGGCAGCAAAGCCATGGCGGAGGAGGCCAGGACGTGGACGGTGGCTTGTGCCCTGTTCCCCAGCAGCACTGGACTCTGACATGAGAGAGAAATCGACCTCTGTGTTTAAGTCCCTGAAATCTGGGGTTGACTGTTATGGCACTTGGCCCACCTTGACTAAACACATCTAAGATACTCAGCCCAGGAAATGTGCTACATGAATGCCTAAAATAGAGGAGAAGTCATTCAAATGAGCAATCTATTTTTAAGGGACTTGATTATTTTTCAAAGTAACTTCATCTCAATTGTCTTTATTCCTGCAACATGCCTGTGAGGTGGGTAGATTATTTTCAGACAGGGTAACTCATCTCCCAGAGAGTAAGTGACTCGGCCAGGGTCCTCCAGGCTGGTGTCAGGATGGAGACAGACCCCCAGGCCTACTCGACCTCTAGACTCACGTTCTCCTGCTCTCCAGGAGCGTCTGGAGCAGATCGCTATCTGGTCTGGCCAGCGTGACTGCCGTGCCTGAGGCATGAGAAGAGGAGAGTCAGCCGACATCATCCTGGGGTCCCGAACCTCCTCGCAGCCCGGCGGTCGATGCCTCTCACCAACACCTGCTGCTCCCCTCCTGCGGAATCCAGCCACGCAGCCCAGTGCTTGTAACCCATGACCACGGCCGTGTCCCTCAGGTGCAAGGACTGCCTCCTCCGCCCTCACCCAGGAGCAGGGGTGTCAGCGGCAAGGCCAGGGACCCAGCGCACACGGACAAGTCCCCCACCCTGCAGTGACACCACCCCGAGCAGGCCAGTGGCACAGATAAGAGGCGATAACAAAGCCTCACACGTAATTCCATGCTTCCCCGTTTGGCTGAACACCTTCCCTCCCTTTAATTATTTGATTCTCACACTCAGAAACCTGCTCCATAGCCCAGGGGAGGAAGCAGAAGCTCAGAGCCACCTCCAAGGTCTGAGGCAGAGCTCACAACCTCTGACTCAGATCCGTCCGTCCATTCATCCTCATTCATTCACCTGAGTGAGCAAGTGCTATGGGTCTGACACCCATCTCAGGGCTTCGTACATATTAACTAATGTAATCTCCTCCGCAGCCCCTTGGGGCAGGCTCTAGTACACCCCCCACTTTATAGATGTGGAAACAGAGGCACAGACAGGTTACGGGACTTGCCCAAAGTCTCACAGCAGCCCTGGGATTTGAACCCAGGCAGTCTTGTTCCAGAGGCTCCAGTCTTAACCACCACATGCACCGTTTCTAAATGTTAGCACGCGGATGTCCACTGTTCCGTCCCTTTAGGCATCTATATATTTTGGAGATCTTTCCATATCAGCACACAGAGAGCACCACCACTCTTCCTAACAGAAACCTTGGATGAATATATTGTAAACTGTACCCTATGGGCAGACTTTTAGGCTATTTTCCATCTTTTTTTATTGTGGAAAAATATACATAACCTAAAAATTTACCATTTTAACCATTTTTAAGTGGCAGTTCGTGGCATGAAGCACATTCAGTTATCTGTCTCGCAGGGGAGGGGCAGAGAGAGAGGGAGACACAGAATCCGAAGCAGGCTCCAGGTTCTGAGCTGTCAGCACAGAGCCTGACAGGGGGCTCGAACCCACACCATGAGATCATAACCTGAGTAGAAGTCGGATGCAAACCAACTGAGCCACTCAGGCATCCCATGTATCCAGTAAGTCCTAACACGTATGCCTCCCTCCCCCACCATCCTGCTTTCTGTCTCTATGAATTTGACCACTCTAGGTATTTCATAGAAGTGGAATCATAGTCTTTACCCTTTTATGACTGTCCCGTCTTTTACTATTTTCCCCGAGGTTGTCACTGTTATAGCAGCAGCTTGCAAAGAGAAAAGATAAATGCATGCAGATATCTCTGGAAGGACACAGAAGGGACTGATGGTTACTCTAGGGAGAGAAAGTGAGCAACTGGGGAAACTTGGGTTCTATCCTCTACTTTCTTTATAACTTTAGAAGTCTGTAGATTGTTCATATATTCGCTATTCAAAAGCAGTGTTAAGAAATTAAGAGAAGTCAGTAGAAAAATAGAAATAGGGCACAGGACTTCTAAACTCTTTATTGACCTCAATGGCACAGACTGTTAACAAAAATCTATGTCCCCTTCTTCTAAAATAACAGAACAGTAGTGGGCAGGTGGCGGACCTCCTTTGCAGTTAGGCTCATCCATGTGACTGAGGCCCCCAGTGGCATGTGAGGGGAGGTAAGATGTGCCTTTCCCTGGCCAGTACCCATCACCCTCCAACCCTGCTTTCTGTCCCCTCCGCATGAGCCAGAGCAAGTATGTGGCTGCAGCCCAGCCTGGGTCCCGCGGAGAAGACAACCCAAGGAGATGGTGGAGACACGTAATGGAAGGAGGCTGGGTCCCTGAACGAGCCTGTGGAGCTGAGCCATCTGCCACCTGGAACTTGAACTGTTCCCCAGGAGAGAAATAAACTTCTATTTTGTTTGAGGTCGTACATTTTGTGATCTTTTGGTTAGAGCAGTAAGTCAAGTCCTGACTAAGATAACCC